ACATTTATGCAAATAGGGAATCAACCCCTCATATCTTCAACAATAGATTCAAAATTTTGTAATTGTTGAAAATTTAAAAATATTTTTGAAAAGATAAATTTTACCAATAATATTAGAAAATTTAAAAACATTTTTGGTGGTTCAAAGCGATCTTATTACCCACACTTTTAGATACGGATAAAAATACATTAAATGAATCAAACAGTATTACACAATATTGACCACATTTATTAAATTAACAATTAATAATTCATTAATTCTATGAGAATATTTGTAAAATTTAAAAAATTACCAAGATTGATTAGTATGATTTTTAATTAAAAATTATGCAATGTTCAAATATTGAACAGATTATAATTATAAATTAATTGCTAACTACAAAATAAATGTTTCTCTTATTCAATATATTATTTGTACCTAAAAATCAAATGTAATTTCCGTTTCTGGGCGTAAACCAGTTGTTATCGACACAAATGAACACAAAATCACTATATATTCTGGAGAACAAAGAAATTTTAAATAACTTTTGCCAATAAAACAGATTTAATGCTTGAATAGACCATTGAATTGACACTATTTATCAGATATGTCTTCAATTAGTGCGAGACAAGCAAATCAGATAAGAAAAGATGAATCAATAAAAAGTGGCGCAAAAGTGACTAAAAATGTTGACCAAATAAATGCTAATAAAAAGTCGGTCACTAGATCTCCAAATTTTAATAAAATAATTGTTCATAAAGTGAATCTTAACGACAAGAATAAAGGGAATGGCGCTAAACAAGGGCTGGACGTCGAGTCGAGAGCCAGTCTTCAGCAAAAAGTGAGACATTTGGAGGAAGAGCTGGAAAAGTAAGTTTGGGATCACATGTCAAACAGATATTTAATGTAAAGATTTGTTTAACAAACTATTGTTTGTATTTTCAAATTAATGTTTACTTTATGTTTGTCTGTAGTTTAGCTTTCGTTAAATGAATGTTAATTTTATTCACATTTTTTTTGTTTTATACGTCTCTTGTGTTTTGTATTTTCTCTCTTTTTTGTGTTTCTTTGGGATAATTAGCAGAAAGTAATCAATTGCTAAATGAGTTCATTGTTTGTCTGTTAAATGAAATGCTTTGCAAAATCAAAATCTCTTATTTCTATAAATATAAATGAACTGAGGTTTTGATTCTTAATGAAATTCTTTATATTCAATTGAATGTATATTTTACATTAATTCTAACATTAATTCTGTTATTGAAATTAAAATTTTACATAAAATAAATATTGAAATCTAAAATTTCATTAAAAATCTTTAAATTTGTAACAGTGTATGGAATAACTTTAGCAAAATTATTCAATTATTTGCACAAATGATTATAAATGAAAGTTTTAGGCCTTTAATGCGTGAGACTTATCGAGCATTTATTTAATTAATTTCTCGGAGACTTTAAATGCATTTTGAACTCAAAAGGTATGAATTCGAGAGGAATCGCATTACAGAGGAATTGGACAGAGTTTGCGAGGAAAAGGATAACCAAATCAGACAATTGAAGACTTCATTACATGAGAAGCAGACGGAAATCGATCACCAAATCTATACATTCAGAAAAAGTAGGAATGATTTCGAGGAGGAGCTCAACCGACAGAAGTATGAGATCGAAGGCATGAGAATTGAGTTCAAGAATAAGGAGTCAATTCTGATGGAGAAAAATGAATCGTTAGGTTTGAATAAATAATATTAATTTTATTAAAACAACTCAATTTATAATTAGTAGTTCACTATTCAATAGCACAAACCTTTGTTTAACATATTTGATCAACATACTTTTATTGCAATAAGTTCAACTGAATGATCAGTTAGCAGTAATTGATAAAATCCATTGACATTTACATAAAATCTTTATCTTATAAAAAAAAATCATGTCATCCTTGACTAGACGACTAATTTATGATTTGAATACAAAAGGGAAACAAATTTTTAAAATAATTATTTAATTATTCATAATATGAGGGTTTACTGGTTCAACGAATTTTCATCAGTTATATTACATTTGTAATCTTCTTGATTGGAATTTGTATATAAATTAATTATAGTAATACCCTTTTATGCTAGTTTAATGCCCCCTTTGATACCCCTCTGGGTTTCCTTGCTTTGGGAAAAGTTCATTACAATTGATTCTCATTTGTCATATAATTCAGAGAAAGAGCTCTTGGATTTGAATGATTATATCAAGAATAGAGACCACACTTTGGATAAAATAAGACAATTGGAGGAAATTAATAAACAACAAAATATTAGTCACAAACGAATCAAAGAGAAACTCGTGAATGAAGTGGAGAATGAAAAACTCAAGTATTCAAACTTATTATCAAATATTCAGTCTTTTATTTAATTATTGATTTTCATAACAATAGATATACAGTTAACTCATGATATGCTATACTAATCTTTATACAGTATTTCCATATGATTAGTTTAGGGACAATACTAACTACAGTACTTAAAAATATTTTTCAATTAGATAACAAACTACAGTAATTAACAATACTGTGAGTTAGCTGTATATTAAGTTATACATCATTTCCTAAACCGATTTTTGAGCCCAGAATTGCTTATTGTTTGCAATTATAAAGAGTTGAAGAGTTGGTGACGACTCGAGTGAACGAAATGAAGAGATGTTTGGAGACTTCATGTCTGAATAAGCTGTCAATCGATGCTCGGATAGCGTTGGAGAAGTTTGAGGAGATGTCCAAAAACTATGAGATGAGTGAAGATGAGTGCAGACATCTTAGGAGAGATAATGAGAGACTAAAAGCCAGACTTAGGGAGCAGAGGATGTATCTGGAAGTGAGTGAATCACTACTCCATGAAATGCTTAAAGAACTCAACAGAAAGATATATTACAGAAAGGATGCGGACATTCAGACAGAGATTAACTCATTAGATAAGCGGCACTAATGTCTGAGCCGTAGGACCAGATAAACACGAAATGGCTGTAATCTTCAGCGCATTCATGTGTGCCGTTTGTGGTTAAAGATTATACACTTACATTGCATTGAAAATATTTTTACCATTAATTTGCACATTGTTTTTATTTCACAAGTTTACTCGATGGGAATTATTCAAAATTTTATTTTATATATTCGACCAATAATTAAACCTCAATTAAAATTTTTAATGCTTTATTTTCTCAGGACTATAGTATGAAATGTTTAATATAATAGAAACTTAAATGTCGTTCACATGTTTTATCGTAAAATTCACAGAATTAACAAATATTATAAATAAGATATAGTATGTGACTAATGTTATTAAAAAGTATAAATAAAAACGATAGAGAAATGTAAGAAATGTTTGCCATTTTGTCGATTGAATGGTGAGAATATATATGGTCTATGACTTGATGGACAGGGCACTGGCCAGTCGTAGTAATGTCTCGGTGGGTGTCTTGCATTTGGCGTACAGTGTATAGCATTCATTGCAATTGGTTTTCGTGAGCGCTTGGCCTCTGTCTCGGGCCGTCTTATAGAAGGCCAGCTTTGGGAGGGATGTCGTAGTAATGTCTCGGTGGGTGTCTTGCATTTGGCGTACAGTGTATAGCATTCATTGCAATTGGTTTTCGTGAGCGCTTGGCCTCTGTCTCGGGCCGTCTTATAGAAGGCCAGCTTTGGGAGGGAATCCGATTCAAACTCTTTGAGGGTCTGGTAGACAGCCCTTCCTTTGTCTCCATAAGCTATAATAGCAAACATACATCAAAATTCATAAAAATCACCAACTTTTACACCATGGTATGACTTACTATCTGGATTGCAGGCCAGTTCGCATATAGTCCGGGCCACACACTCCGTAAGCCGGCGTTTCTCCACTATACTGATGGCCTGTTTCAGAGTCACTTCGGTCTTCTCGATCGCATCCTTTACTTTTGTGGTCAATGATGTCGGTGTCGATGTAGTGGGCGCTGACTCCGAGCCATATATCACGCCAGCGATCGTTAGAAAAATCAATACATGTGTCGAAGAATTCATGATTTTCATGAAGCCTTTGATTGCTTTCAATTTAGAAATAAATATTCAGTTAATTTGAGTAAATAATAAGCGTATAATATAACGAATGCACACAATATAATCATATATGATATTCAATTAAATAGAAATGTATGCACAGCTCGACTGTCCANATTGCTTTCAATTTAGAAATAAATATTCAGTTAATTTGAGTAAATAATAAGCGTATAATATAACGAATGCACACAATATAATCATATATGATATTCAATTAAATAGAAATGTATGCACAGCTCGACTGTCCAGTGAATACTAAAATCATATCTTGAATACCCATGTCTTTTATGCCTTTAATTTGAAAACAAGTGATTCACTAATACTTGGAAATAACCTATCACATTTGACTTATAAGATTTTGATATATGATTCTTATATGTTGTGAAATCTAATTATCCTTATAATGTTGAATTTGTCTCACTTTTTTCATATGATTTCAAGAGTATTTAACTAGGGAAAATTCCTAGACTTAAAATCAACTTTCACTTGAAAGGTATTTAAATAAGTTTTTGAAAATTTATCAAATTCAATCACAAATTAATGTAGAAACACTAGTAGCTAAATATAACACTTAACATTTAGATTTATAGTAAAATAGATTTCACAATCAAATGTAATTAAAAACATAAATTTAATATTAATAAGACTAATAAAGCCATTAAACATGAAATTATAAAAACATTTTTATTAATTTATGTTAATTACAAGTACAGCACAGTTTAACATACATTTAGATTTTCATAAATAAAATCTCTATGTTTATTACATAATTATACATAATAAATAATTAACTTGAACGTGTTTAGATGAAAAAATAATCTAGGAAATAGTTGTAAACACAATATTCAACAGAAATTCGTCGAATTGCTATCAATTTTATCATTTTTGCGCCGAATATTCAAACGCCTGTTACGTCCAAAACGTTTAGCATCTCTTGATTTTGACGATTGGTTTTGATGATCATTGTCTCCAAAGTCGTGGTTCAGAGGAATGTTTCCGTTTCTGTTCACTCTATTAGTGGTGTCTTCGGTGGAGCTCTGAGTGTCGGCTCTATTCTCGTAATTGTAATTACTATTCAATTCCGAGGCATTAGTTTTATTAATAATAAAATCTTCGCTGAATTGAATCCGACAACAATAATGTAATAGAGATTTGACTAAATTTTGATTGAAAAATAGATAAATAAATGGATTTACAAAACTGTTTAGTGACGACAATAGCATTAATATTGTGATTATTGGACCTGAAAAGAGACGCGAAAACAATATTTTAATACAAAATTAAATTACATTTAAGTTTTTGAATAGAGGGCTGAGAGAGAGAGAGAGAGAGAGAGAGAGAGAGA